GACTTATACTTAGGTACATGTGTACAGAGCCATGAACCTGCCCAGCCAGAGCATAGCTTACAGCACATGGAATAGGATTGCAAACTGCTTAAGTACCAAAACTGGGAGTTACATGGCTGGGTAACTGCCATATGGGAGTATAAAATGAAATAGGATTCTGACCCATGTGTTAGTGACCAGAGAGCCAGATAAGTCTTGGCAGCCTTTTCAGGATGTCATAGACTTTGGCTCCAAATAGGTGGTGCACACGTTGACAGACAGATGTGTCTGCGCACCACAAAAGGAAGTCTCCAGCTGCCATCATTCATTGTCTCCTTCCTTTAGAATGGTGGGCAGGCCTCTCACACCTGGTGGGGAACATGGGTCCTCTTCTCTGGCCATTGTAATCTGTTCTTCTGCTCTTGGCCCAGGTCTGCAAAGTGGTTCTTGAGCGTGCTGGATAGGGGATCTAGGAACAGGGTGAAATACTGTCTACATTGTGAGGTGGGCAGCAGTCAGTTTTTTCCATATGGTGTAACTGGTTCTTCCCCCTGGCCGTTGTAGGCCTCTTGTATTAGCTACCTTCCTCCACTTTGGACATTTCTTTCTGCTTCATTGATTTGATGAAGTTCTTATGTTCCTCTACACTTCACAGTCAATATACTGTGAAGTCAATATACTGTGGAGTCAGAAGCGGACTGGCCAAGTTCGCCAATGACACCAAACTTTGGGGCAAAGCATCCACACCAGAAGACAGGCGGGTGATCCAGGCTGACCTGGACAGGCACAGCAAGTGGGCGGATGAGACTCTGATGGTGTTCAGCGCTGATAAATGCAAGGTTCTCCACCTTGGGAAGAAAAACCCGCAACATCCTTATAGGCTCAGCAGTGCTATGTTGGCTAGCACTATGCAAGAAAGAGACTTGGGGGTCATCATTGACCACAAGATGAACATGAGCCTGCAATGTGATGCTGCGGCTAGTAAAGCGACCAAAACGCTGGCTTGCATCCATAGATGCTTCTCAAGCAAATCCTGGGACGTCATTCTCGCCTTGCACTCAGCCTTAGTGAGGCCGCAGCTGGAGTACTGCGTCCAGTTTTGGGCTCCACAATTCAAAAAGGATGTGGAGCAGCTTGAGGGAGTCCAGAGAAGGGCCACCCGACTGATCAGAGGTCAGGGAAGCAGACCCTATGACGACAGGCTGAGAGCCCTGGGGCTCTTTAGCCTGGAAAAGCACAGGCTCAGGGGTGATCTGATGGCCACCTATAAGTTTATCAGGGGTGACCACCAGTATCTGGGGGAACATTTGTTCACCAGAGCGCCCCTATGGATGATGACTAGGTCGAATGGTCATAAACTACTTCAAGACCGTTTCAGGCTGGACATAAGGAAGAATTTCTTTACTGTCCGAGCCCCCAAGGTCTGGAACAGCCTGCCACCAGAGGTGGTTCAAGCGCCTACATTGAACACCTTCAAGAGCAAACTGGATGCTTATCTTGCTGGGATCCTATGACCCCAGCTGACTTCCTGCCCTTTGGGCAGGGGGCTGGACTCTTCTGAGGTCCCTTCCAGCCCTAATGTCTATGAAATCTATGAAATACCTATTTTAGCAGCCCCTTGCTCACTTACATGCTTCCGTCATGAATCCAGAAATGGGTGGAATCTGATTATTTAGTACCTTCCCTTGCAGCAAGGCAGCTCATCAAGTCAAATCTGGACCTGGGTGGAGGTCAAGTTCCTTGTTTGAGCAAATGCCCCACAGGTGCAGGCAGGTGCTACCTGAAGAGTTGGCAGCAGCACTGGCAAGGCGTTATTTTTCAAACACTGTGGGGTCTTCCTTGTACAATACCCGTAACAGCACAGAAAACCCACCTGTCTGCCTGTCTTTGCTAGTGAAGTCAGCTAGCTATCTTCCTTCATTCCTCAACTGCTTTTATCACTTCAGCCAATAGCAACCTATATACTTATGAAGGCCTATATGTTTATGAAGGACTCGCACATAGCCTAAGTGACTCAAACCTTTCCACTTCACTTTGTTTAATCAGTGGTCTAATGGAAATACTGTACCATATTTTCTCACATATAACCCTTACCTTTTCCTACAAAACCAGCTGGGGAAAAATGGAGCATGTATTGTATGTGAGGAAATGGGCTCCCCAAAGGTCCAAAAATTTGGTAGGGAGAGGGGAGTTAGAGTAGTGGTAATGTTAATTGCTGCAGCTCCAGGAACCATGGCAATTAACACTGCCACTGCTTTCTTCCCTTCTTTCTCACTTACCCCCCACCACCAAATTTCCTCTGGGGAGCCCCTCCCCAAAATTGCATGCCAGATACCAGAGTGCTGGGTCCTACCCTGGGTACTGATTTTAGAGTCATGTGTTGGGGTGGGCCTGGTACTAGTTCAGGACTGCTGTTTGGGACACATGAGTCCAAGCTGTCCAAGTTCAGAAACTGCACTTGGCTTCAGAGCCAGCATGGGGTCCTGGACTCACCATGTGAACCCAGCATTGGCATACTGCACCAAAGTCATGTGGCAGGGCCCAATCCTGCACAACATGGCAGGTTGTGATCCGCAATGCTGGTGCTGGGACTGCACAGTGAGTCTGAGACCCCACACTAAATCTGAAGGCACATGCCAAGTCTGACTCAGCTCTCAGCCCCAGAGCCAGTACATAGTCCTGGACTTGGCATGCCAGGACCCTTGATGCATGGCCCCACTGTGTGGCCTCAGTGCCTTTGGACCAGAGGTGTGCAGGCTTAGGACCAGTGCATAGCCCCGCCATGTCGCCCCCAGTCTCAGAGACCCCAGACCATAATCACTTACCTGTACACCAAGGTAATTCCTTTTGTTTTTTCCCCCCTTCTTGAGGCCTTCCAAAAATAGGATGTGTACTATATACAGGGGCATGCTATATGCAAAAATATGGCACTCTACTGCTGTGACTTCAGAAACCCTGTTTGAGTTCACACACTAGCAAACTATTCTAAAGGGCATTCTAGCTCAGTCTGCAGTCAGACCTAGATTTCAAACAAACCAAAAACAGCAAACTAGCACAAGAGTCCAACAGGAATTTTCCTAGTGTCAGAAAGTTTCCCTTTCTCCTTACCATCTCCCTGCAGAGTTGCTTTAGTGGCAACAAAGAAAAATTACCCAAGATAAACTCACTGAGTATCTAAATCCTCTCAGCTGTGTAAGTCTCTCAAGTGTATAGGTTTCTGCATCCACAGTACATCCATGTTAAAAATTTCATATGCTCAAAAATCAGGTAATGGAAAATGTCCTTGTGGTTACATTAATTTGTTCTAGTTGTAATGTAAGGTCAGTTCCTTGATAGTGTAAGCATACCACCTCTGAAATCCCTGCAGTGACTAAGAATGCCTTTGTCATTTCACTTCTTTCCTTTCGTTTTTACATTGCTTTGTCAGATGGCAGGTGGGAACTGTAAAATATATAGCATGTGAAACTTGACTGAATTGACATTGCTATGGTGATCTTTTTATGCCAGTTCAAGATCAATCAACACCTTAGGTTTTTGATTTCTGTGTTTAAGCTTCAACCTTAATGGTACAGTTATAAAAACTTCTGCATTTTAATAAGAGCATTTCTGCCTACTGAATTTCTGAATAAGAGTAGCTGTGTAATAATTCTCAGCCTCGTATGTACAGCAAATGGCACTGCTTTATTTGTAACAGAAGCTCTTTGCAGGAAGTCTGGGTGGACCTTTAATCTCTCACAAAATGGAAGACCTCTTTTAAGTTCAACCACTTAACTCTAAATAGCAAGAGCTGATTCTAGGTGTTGGTGAGATCTGAGTCTTTAATTCACTATTGAGCTATGCATTATTCTTCATGCTGAAATAGTGGTATATAACACATTAAGAGTTTAAGTATTGATCTGGCACTGTTATAAGGCTCTAACATAAACTCTCAATGGCCATTTATGCTCAAGATCCATAAACTGTCAACTACACAAATCAACTAAAAAGAACACATGCTGGAATAATTTCAAATCCACACGCTCTGTGATTCTTTGATAGAATAGTATATAACCTCAAAATCCTTGGAGGTTTTTTTACAGCATACAATGTTGCTGATAAACCAACACTATTGCCTTGTTTGTGTATAATATACAGCACTGCTAGTGCAATTTTGAGGTATCTGAGAGTCAGAAGATGTGCTGTTTTTATTTTTGTCATTTAATTTTTATATGAACTTTAGCAAGTCATTTCCCATTTTTTCCCCTTTTTATTCCATCTGAAAAGTAGAGACGATAATATTGACATGCCTCTGTAAAATGCTTCAGAAATCTTAGATGAAAAGGTATCATATCAAATATATGATCAAAGCAGAGTTTACAGTACAAAATCTGAATCTGATTCTAGATTAGTGCTTTCATTGCCATAGCAAAGGGGAGGGGGTGAGCAGGGCGACCACCCCGGGTGCCAAAGTGAAGGGGTACCAACAAGCACTGCCCAGCCAGGGTGGGGTGTGGGACACAGCCGTGAGCAACTCATCTGGAGGGGTAACAGGGGAAGGCATCTCCCGCATCTGTGTGCACTCCTGGGCAAGCATGGAGGTGAGTGTGCCCCCTGCATCTGTGCGTAGGGCGAGGATGGGCTGCTGCTGAGGGGTTTGCCCTGGACACCAAACTTCATTGCTATGGCACTGAGCACTTTCCCAGTATTTGGAGGTACTTTGGATGCAAGATTTTTGTTTCAGCACTTAATACAGAGAAAGAGACATGGTTGTGCTATTAGGCTCTGACCTGGAATGCTCAAATTCAGGATTCAGGATTGTTTCAGTATTGGATTTTTATTCATGTATATCTCTAGTATAAAGCAGTGTTGCTTTTAATATAGTGGAATCTCTTCATAAAGCACTATTTATGTAATTGTTTTTAATACTATAGCTTGCCATTAAATATCTGCAGTTGAAAATATGCGAATAGACATGTCATGGTTAAATCCAGACATGGACTTTGTATTAGTAACATTGTGTGTTTCTTTAACTTGTCTTTCAGCAACCCAGTGCAAGCATGGCGCAGTTTATGACACCTGTGGCCCTGGATGTGTCAAAACATGTGACAACTGGAATGAGATTGGTCCATGCAACAAGCTGTGTGTTGCAGGTTGCCACTGCCCAGCAAATCTAGTGCTTCTCAAAGGAAGATGCATCAAGCCAGTCCTCTGTCCACAACGGTGACGTTAGTTTTATCTTCAAGGACTGTAATAATGGTGTCTTTGATACCTTTGAAACTCACAGCCAATGAAGGACTGCAATGTTTGTATGCAGATTCTGCAAAGTACACGCACCTTCACAAAATGTGCATGTGTGTGTGTCTGTGTATTTATATGTGTCTATATACACACATGAGCATGTATAAAGATAAATAAGAATATACTGTGTGTACATAGATGTACATATCTATACACAAGTACACAATATATATAAATACAAGACACGTATTTATATATATATATATATATATATATATGTACTTACACACAAATATACACAATTTATATATACCATAGAAGGATGAATTATTATATGTATATTTTTTGCTATAAAATTTATGTATTATTATTTCTAGGACTCTAATCTATAAGCCGTTTGAGTCATTGTATAAATAAACCAGGTGTTTTTAATATAATATAATGGCATGAAAATCTATTGAATGACTTCGCCATTGCATAAGCTTGTAGTTTCCAAGGAAACTTTTCTAGGGCCATAGCATTGCCAGACTGGATTAGTTTCAACAGAGACCTTGGATTTATAGTTGTACAGGAAAGACATTCCTCTGGAGATGGAGGATTTATCTACGAATATTTTGTGTGTACCTCAGAGCTGCTTAGTGATTGGTGACAGTGCTTAATGATGGCAGAGAAAGCTAAGGATACTTTATTGAATCACTGTAAAAAATTATTTCTAAACTCAATGGCCAAATGCCAGTAAAGAGATTTTTTTTTTTTTTGGAACATAACCAAAGAATAGGTGGACAGATTTTCAAAAGTGCCCTGTGCCCAGCAGCTCTGATTGCATATATGGCCACTTATGTTTAATAAGTACCCCTTCTGTGATGTTATATGTGGTATTACCTGGGAAAAAGACAATAAAAATCCTTAAAAATTACACATGAAACTTTTAGTCCTCTTAACATGTTTTACAACGTTATTGTTTAATACATCCCTTAAAATGTTTTCAGATAATCAAAGCCCAGTGGCATATACTTACAAATACTGTGAATTGAAAGTTCACATGCATAATGTGATTTTGGTGCATATGAATAGTTAAAATAATGTTTAGGTACTTTTTTACGTAACTTTTACCTTTTTAATAACTCATTAAATAACTCTGTAAGTGGAAAACAAAAATAGATTTAAAAACCCCCAACTGCACAAAAAGAGTAGAAAATGATAAATGGTGAACAGACATTTATTTTCATATTTGGCTGTTTCATCAGTCTTCATGAACTTGCAGGATTTGCTTGTTTTTGAAGTCATTGTAATGCAGTCATATGGGATAGACCAACCATTATTAAATAAACTATATAGCTTTCTCAAGCCTAATCTATTTGGAAACCTGTGAGAGAGCTTGATTGGATGTCTAGTAAAGTCAATACTTCAATTCTTTGGGCATTGAATTTGGATTTATAGTGAAATAATTTTTCCCCACAGAGCTACTGCCTCACAAGTTGAACTAAAACTGCATGTCATAGAGTCTTAGAAAAATTCAGAACTTTTATTCTACTTCACTTCAAAAATGGCTTTATTAATTTCAGTTAGGTCTGAGTAAGCAGGTTCCACGCTTTTCAGTTATAGAAACTGTTCATAATGTTGTCATAAGAGAAGCTGTTGTGTAAGCATGTATATCATGACATCGTAAGATGCCAATGCTGTGGCATAATAACTACCGAAGATTTCCATGAATGCTTGTCCAAATTTAAAATACCCTAATTTGGTTTTTTTGGCCATGTCCATATGAGTGTAGACGTTTGTTTCCCCGGGGACAACTAGCAGCAGCACAGTTTCCACTGCCGCTAGTTGTCCCTGGGGAATGCCTGTGCCACGTGCCTTCTGGCATGTGGCAGGTTACCCCGGGTGGGGTAGGGGAGGCTGGGGCCAGCCCTACCCCACCCGGCGCCTTACCTGGGGTCCTAGGGGCCTCACAAGGCTGCAGCAGTAGTGATCCTACCACTTGGAGCCTGGCTGGCAGCTGGTGTGTGGCTCTGGCTGGCCAGACTCCAGTTTTGAGTGACACACACTGTCCCCACTTGCACCACTCTGCTCCACCTTTCTTTGTGTGGGTTTTTTGATCTCTGGATATCCAGGGGTCAAACCCCCCCAGCCCCTCTGCATGGTGTTCCCTTGCATCATAGAGAACAGCTGAATGTGCGTTATGTGGCATCACAGATGTGTCTGCGGTGCCCTGTACCTCACAGCCGCACTCATCTGGACATGGTCTTTTGTCCCTTTTGTGTTTATTTTCCCAGAACATTCAAATACATAAGTTTTCCTGACAAAAATGTTTTCAGAAAGCAAATTTGAATGCCACACATATAAATGTTCTTGGAAACTGAACTGTAAATATCCAAATGACCATCACATCAGGGAACAAAAGCAATATTATATGACATCAAAAAATTTAATCAAGCAGCTGAAATTCAAGGCATAGGCAGATGTAACATTGGTAATAATTTCAAAGGGTGCCAATATAAGCTATTATGATGTAAGCATTATAACTGTACGATTATGTAGCAATGCACGTCATTATAACTGTATGATTCTGCAGTAATGCTACAAAATTACATAGCAGAAATGGTGCAACTTTAATGCAGGGCCAGACACAGGCATGGGTGAACTGGGCAGCTGCCCAGTGCCTGGAAAGAAACGGGGCCCGAAAATGGTAATTTTAAAATTATTATTATCATTATCTCTGGAGAAGTGGGGCCTGATACTAAAAGTTTGCCTGGGGCCGCCAGGAGTCTAGGTTCAGTGCTGCTTTAACGCTGTTTCTTTCAGCATTAATTTAGCATTTAGCCAGCTTTTGTCACTAGAGGATCAAGTTAGATCATAATATCTGATGTGTACTACTCCTGAGTGGCAGCTCTGTCCCCTTTTAAAGAGGTTAAAAGGTACATTTGTCCATAGCCTTAGAATATGTGTGAGGGCCCTATACAGTAAATACATGAAGTGATATTTGCTAAGTAATTTTGAATATCAACTAGACCTGAAGAAATTGCAGTCTTCTTGAGACATTTCACGGCGAGGAAAAAGGGCTAAATCATTTACTATATAGTTTGCCCAGATTTGGTATTGCTTTGGGGGTTTTTTGTTTTTGATTTTTTTATGTATACATCAGTACAACTTACTAAAAATATAAATAAAAATACATGCAAAAATCAACTGAACAGATACCCGCTTAATATGATGAATAGTACATGTCTCTCTTGATCTTTTACCAGGTCCCCTGGTCAGAGTTATCACAGTAAATAAAGCTAAATGGGCACATCCTCAGCTGGTATGAAACAATATGGCTCCACTGAAGTCAATATAGGTTTGCTAATTTACACCAGCCCAGGATGTGACCCAAAGAATCTATGATACGACAAACTTTTTTTCATCCTTGACCATTTAATTTTGGAACTTGACCTAGGTGTCATCTCTGATTACCAGAGCTCTGTTTATCTTGGATATATCCTCCAAACTTAGAGGAAAACCCTGTATTCTAATAAGATAGAAGAGCCTTGGAATAGATTTATACCTCTAAGCAGTCTGACCACATCCCTCTGGAAAGAGT